CAGGTAAGAAAATATTATTGTCTATAATATTATCTATATTATCTATAAAATATTATCTATAATATTATTGTCTATAATAACAAATCAATTTAGAATAGGGAGCCATGTGTTAAAGTAAAAAGAGAAATTTTTTCTTTCTTTGGTCTGCCTAGAAAACATATTTTATAACGGACAACTGGATGGTTTCTTTGATATCCAGCTAGTCATTTTATTGATTAGTTTTGCCAGCTTGGTAGCATATTTGCTTTGTCTCCATGCTTTCTCTCATTGATTTGTAAATGGCTTATGACCAGAATCCTAGCCTATGATTCTTTAATCTCTCTTCATCAAGGAAAGACATGTAGAATGAAGTAGGTACAATAAATGTTCAGCATGGATCATTCTTTCAGCAGAATTATAGTTTCATTGAAGGGAGCAGAATGAGTGTTCCACTCTGTCTATTTCTTTTCAGTCTTGGAAGGTGCAAAGAGTTAAATAATTTAATGTTATGAAATAAATATGAAGCCAGGAGATGAATGTTTTACCCTTAGTTCTGCCATGAGCTAGCTAAGTGACTTTGCTTTGCTTATCTGTAGAATGAGGCAGCTGGACCAGTCGACTTTTGAATTTCCTTCTAGACTAAGACCATTAAGTCTCAATGAAAAGTGCAAGAATTTCTTGATAGCAGTTCTGTGTGCCAGATTACTTCTTTATGAAATCCCTTACACGTGGAACTTGCGTCACTCTGCGCTAAAATTTTATCTCACCCACAAAATGAGAGTCTTAGTACCTATATTTTTAATGATATAAAAAATGTTACTAAATCTGAAATTATTTACATTTAGTTTTGTTTTCGTTAGTTGTTTCACTTCATTTTATAAATACGGGGTTGTTTTCCTTGTTGGTTTTCACTCGTATCAGCTGTCAGTAGTAAAACTATTAAATTGGTTAATAGTTCTGAACAATAAAGACTTAATCACTACATTCATGCTCCACAGAGCGCAAAAATGCTCAATACACATATAATGCTTTTATTCTAATGTTCAAGTGTCCCTTGTCACTGCCAGTGTTGCCAGCCTCATCTCCGTGCCAGGAGGAAAAAGATGATGCCTTGCCACCCTATGTGGTTGTCTGGCAAATAGACCACTGACAGTCATTATTGGCAACTTTAAAGAAGACCCACTATTTTAAAATTTTCTTATATTTTATTATGTCATCTATTTTCTACTTCTTTTGCAGGATGTCTTTAAAGATTGTATACAGAGAAAATTTTATTCACCTATAAAGGTAGGAAAACAATTTTCTGATTATATATTAGATTTGTTTTAATAGTTTCAAAATTTACTTCCTTTATCCATAGTGATAGAATTGGTGATGCTTATTCTAAGTGGAAGGTATATTGCATCTACTTGCTAAATTTGAAATCATCCAATACAAAGTGTCTGTCATTTGGAAATTTTCCTCTATGCCATTACAGTTTGCAATTTATTATAGATATGATTTACATATATATATATATATATACACACACATATATACTTTATGATATTTTAGTAGATTGAAATATAATATATAGTTTCATGCTCAGCAGGGTAATTTAATATATTATGTATATTGTTAGAAAGTGAGATTATTTATAATAATTTTATATTTTTCTTGTTATTCTAAACTTATAATTTTAAACCACTTATTCAAATAATCATACATATAATTATGACAATAATTTAAGAATATAAATGTTAATTTGGAGGAATTTGCTTTAGTACTTGCTTTACTCAAAAGTGAAGAGAACGTGTCCCTTTTTCTTGGTTAGAGTATATATGAAGATAAACTTAGAATTTTTATTCCAGTAAATACTTTTCTGATAATAACTTAACTGTAGTTATTTCAAATGAAATTGTGTAACTGTGGTGAATCATATGGAAATTGTTCAGATGCACATTAATCCCCTCATCCCAGCCCCTGTCCCTATGTACAAATACTTTATTTCCATTTTTTCCTTTTCTTATATTTTTTTCTTTTCCCTTCTTTCCTTTCCCCTACCCTTCCCACTTCCCCTACACCTTTAGCCCTTTTCTTCCTATTTCACATGGTCAATTATATCACTAGGATCTTATGTACCATTATTGTTTTTCACACCAGAGAAACTATTAGGTATTTATACATGGGTGACTTATTTATTTCGCTTAGGAGTATACACTCAATATGTGCTTGTCTTTTTTATTTGCAATATCTAAAGAAACAAAGTATTATAGTAAATGAAAAATGATTGTGTCCCTCAAAATTAGCTACTGCTAAAGTTTTAGTGTTTTCAGATTCCATCTTCATATATAAAACATCAGGATCATTATGCTCACATAATGGTTTCATATTACATACACAAGTCTGCTTTTTATTATTTTAATTATAAATATTCCTCTGTCAACATATTATCAATTTCTTCCTCTTAATAGCTATACATTAGATGATCTTGAGTATGTCATGACTTATTTAATAGGCTTTTCAAACTTCTTTTAAAAAATAGAACTTTAGGGCCAGGGATTTAATTCAGTGCCATCGTGCCTGTCTTACAAGCATAAAATCCTGAGTTCAATCCCTAATAACAAAATAAAAAAGAAAAAAACTTTAAAATAGACAAAAAGAGATTTTTCTTAATTATACTTAGGGCAGACATACAAAAATAATAATTCCCATTTGTACACGCAATCAAGAAGCCCTCTTTCAATGCTTTATTTTACTCTAAAACATTTCATGGCACTTAATGATATTTATTTATAGTTGTTTACATGTCTCTCTTTCCTAGTGGAATTGACAATCTTAAGCTAGAAATAATAGCCTTACTTTAAGTAAGTTTTGACAGAATCATAAAGAAATTTATAAGGATAGCATAGAAAACTTTTTCTTCTGACCCTTTTGTAAGTCACCAATTAATTATCCCTACCCTCAGCTTCTTTGGGCTGTATCTCCTACAATCAATGGCATTTTCCCTGTGAGCACAATAAAATTGGCAATATCAGGTGATGAAGACTGAATTGTGTTCCATATTCTTCCATTCATATGTTGAATTTCCAACACCAGGTTAAAATGTGGGGGTCTATGAGAGGTAATTGGATATATATGAAATTATGCCTTTATTATAAAAGTCACCAGACAGCTAGCTTCCTCACTTTCTACAAGGTGAGGTTATAGCAAGAAGGGTATCATTTGCAACCCAGCAAGAGAGCCCAGCCTGAGGAATCTAATCTGTTGGTTCCTTGATCATGGACTTTATACCTCCCAAACTGTGAGAAATCAATTGCAGATAAGGGCATTGTATGAATGGCAGTCCAAGTTGACTGGGCATCCATACATTGCTGCCATCTTATTTTCACATTCTCTTCAAATTCTATCCTTGAATGTACTTTAGAATGTACAAATTTGTTTCCAAATGAAGCGACTTGTTTATTGTTTATAGTTGTATTTTGTTAGCCTCTATTGTTGGGCAAAAGTTCCACAGACATTTCTTGACTTTCATAATGTAGAATTTTTAAAAATTGTATTTATTTTGTAGAATGGATTTAATTTGAATCTTATGCTGAAATCATATTTTACGTAGAGTTGCATCCTAGCATTTGGAAAGTGTTAGGCATGGAGATGATGGTCAATAAATGCTAACTGGGCAAAGAATTACTGCTGGAAAATGCTATGAAACTCAGACACTGACTCAGTAACCTAATGTTGATAACAAATTATTTTAAGATAAACATTTAAAATAGGGAGGAAAAGAAACAGACTCTAATATCCAGGCTAATTTGCTTATTCAGCTTGCATACACTAGTCATTGTGTAAGTTAATGCTAGTTCTTTTAAAGCAGTGCTTCTCAAATCATTATGGACAGACGGCTTTCAGTTCAAACATGGTTTTTAGTTCATAGTAACATAACGGAAATTGGAAATATGAATTTAGGAAATTTTTTTAGCATTTTTATTTTATCTTTGCTGAATTACACACATCTAAAGTGGTATATGTCTTATTATTCTCTGATTATTAATTTGCACTATGTATATTTTTTATATTTTTTATTTTTGTTTTTGGTACTGGGGATTGAACGTGGATCCTTGCACTTGCAAGGCAGGCCATGGAACCACTGAGCTAAATCCCCTGCATTTTGCACTATACATTAATATTGATCCATAATTTAAAATGTTCAAAAATTACAATCATTTACCATATTTTATGATTCTTTTTCATTGCTTTGAGGGGATCAGAGTAGAAATGTGTATAATAAGCACATAGAGCTGGATTGCCTTTCATCACTTTTTAATTGTAAAATGAGAAGTATATGCTAAAGGCTTGTCTAATTTTTTTTAATGATGTTTCTGAGGAGCTTGAGAAGTTCTCTTAGGTCCAACACAAAGGTATATTCCATCACTAGGAGCCTGAAATGACTGTATGAGATTATAATTCTAATATAGGGTAACCTTAATTCCTCCTGAATCTGATTTCACTGCAAACCAAAACAATGGTTTTAGTAACACTCCCCTCTATAGAGCATTCTCTTGTTTGCCTTTCCTTTCCTGAATTCATGATTTTAATTAACCACTAGAAACTCAGAATTTCCACTGAGGGAAGAACACAATAAGTGCCTCTTAAAAAGTCAGTGGTCAATGGTCTAATTCTCACTTCTATTTGAAAGAGCCTAAATATAGCTTTTCAAATATTCTGGTCAAGAGGGAACAGACATAGAAAAAGAAAAAGAAAAAAAGAATGAGGGAAATAATAGAGTGAACATACAAAAAACTCTCGGGAAAACTGAGAAGAAAAAAATGTATTGCTTTAAATATAATTTATATTAGAAGCATTCAATCTCAGTAACAACTGTACAAAATGTATTTGTGAATCAACAAATTTATGAACCAGACATGAGGATTTTGAGTCAGACCAGATTCAGGAGATGAAGACAAGAGTAAAACAACTAGAACTTGTCCTAGAATGACAGCAGTGTTTTGAGATATGGTAGAAACAAGTATGATTTCAATATGACTGACCTGGGTACCTACTAGAATATCTGAAAAGGAAAGGTGACAGACTAGTTTCCAAGCCTTCTAGTGGAGGAAATGATGCCCATAAATGATCATGTTGAAGATTAAACTAATTGAAAAAATAGAATGAGGAAAAAGTGCAACTTGAAAATTAGTTTTCAGCCTAGAGACTAGTATATTGCTGGTGTTTAGCAAATTTTTATTCAATACATGAATGATTTACTTAGAAGCAGCTTATTAACCAAAGGTAGAAGTGCTAGACCAAAACATTGAAGCATAAAATCTCCTCATGAATGAAAGGGAGAGAACTCTCCCTATTAGAACATTAAAAAGCATGTAATGAAGAAGCTGACCTGAGAATAGAAACCTGAGTCTAGACCAGTAATGGAGATGGTTGTGTACAACACAAAATTTCCTGGCTGTGTTTATGGGTAGCAGGAACAAGAGTATGATCAGAATTGTAGCTTGATTGTAAATGATGAGGTACAGGGAGGCAGGACAGACATGAGGATACGAATTAGGGTGCTTTTTCACTGCTCTTGGCAAGAACGATGAAGACAAATAGAGCAATAAAGGTAGGCATGAAGAATGGAAAGATTCAGGGATCATTTGAAACATGGAATCAATGGAACTTCTCACTCTTTGATTGTGTAGTACGGTGGGGGGGTATCACGGTGTGAAAAGGAAGGATGAAAGCTTGCACAATTACAACATTTTGCGACTTGTGTTCCTGAGTGGATGACAGACTTCTAAATTAAGCCCAGGTATATGAGAGGACAACTAAGTATGTGGAAAGTGGGGAGAAACATAAAATGGAATCCAGATTTAGACATAAAACTTGAGATGCCTCTTGAGGAAGAGAAAAAGCCAAAACCAGAGAAATGTGTGTATTTTTTTTTTTGATTCAGGGATCATTTGAAACATGGAATCAATGGAACTTCTCACTCTTTGATTGTGTAGTACGGTGGGGGGGTATCACGGTGTGAAAAGGAAGGATGAAAGCTTGCACAATTACAACATTTTGCGACTTGTGTTCCTGAGTGGATGACAGACTTCTAAATTAAGCCCAGGTATATGAGAGGACAACTAAGTATGTGGAAAGTGGGGAGAAACATAAAATGGAATCCAGATTTAGACATAAAACTTGAGATGCCTCTTGAGGAAGAGAAAAAGCCAAAACCAGAGAAATGTGTGTATGTTTTTTTTTTTTAAAAACCTATACACATATAGCAAGAATTCTCTGTGGCAATTCTGCCTGCAAAAAAA